AAGTTTATTTTGTGTATAGAAGAAAAAAAAAATTTTAAATTTTATTTAAAGAAATAAAAAAATGAAGAATGGGAAAAGGAAAAATGAATTTTGTTCGATTAAGAAAATGTAGGTCATGAAGTTTTGGACTAAAATTGAGTGCAACATTTTATGTACATCATGTGTGTATAATAAGGGTTACCGCTGCTAATAATAAATTGGTAAAAATGTAGTAAACTAAAAGTGGTAGATTATATGTATTGGTTGTTATGAACAAGATGATTCAAAAAAATAAGTCTGATTATTCTAAAAAATCTGAATGATTTGATAAAATTTAAGATTTCATAGTACTTTTACTATATATTTTATGTCCGCCTTTGGAGCATACCCTTCAGTTGGGTGGTTCAATTTTGATACCAGAAATTTTACTATGGTCTTAATTTTCATTCTGTTATATGAGTATCTAGTTGTAAATTGGAAAATGAGTAAGGAATTTTATACTCGAATTTAATTTACCGATGAATCCTAGACCGAGAAAATTCGTAATTGGATTAAGAAGTACAAGTCATTTACTACAGACTGACAATTTCTATATCATGTTTTTCTATGTTAACTATGTCATTTTTCAATGTCATATTTTGACTGTCAATTTCATGTCATATTGCTCAAATGTCCCTTGCACAAGAAAACTGTCTATTCTCTTTGAACTAAAAATTTTACTCTATAAATCTCAAACTTATACATACTTTATTCTAGCTTATTTGAAAGATATTTTTTGTACTATGTATTACAATTTTAAATTTTTTTTAAATAAGATTTACCAATTTTTTGTACAGCCCCATTTTACGTACATATAACTATATTGTTGAAGGTATTGGAATATCATAAATTTTTCTATTAATTTAAAATAGAAAAAAATAAAACGATTGAATGCAAATTTTTTACTATATAATTTTATAGACATTATAGCTGAAAAAAAAAAGAAAGTAGAAAAAATAAATTTATTGATGTCATTGCTCGCTACTGTTAAATGTGATAAATTAAATTTAGAATTTGAAAGGGACATATGAAATTATATGTTTTATGGAAAGGTTATGTTTAAGCATATGTTAAAATAAATGCGTAAACTAGTGTTATACACATAACACATGTATTCGTAAGCTATCTATATTAAATTTAAACGATGTAGAAGTTAAAAAAATTTTCTAATCTAATCAATTAGATTTTTGTAATTTAAGAAAAAAATTTGCAGAGATTGTGTATATTTTAGATTTTTATATCTATATTATATCCATCTATATGGCTTACGAATATATCAATAAAGACTTAATTTTTCATATGTGTTATAATGACATTGAAATTATCGTCTAATTCTAGTGTATTAGTAAATATTTATGTCTTTTTATTATACAAAAATTTTCTTTTTTTCATCATTTCATTACATAATTTGCAAGGAAATTTTAAAACTATTACATTATTATTTTTCCAATCATAAGACCGCTGAAAATGTACGCACATTAAAGGATTTGTTGATATTTTACGAAACGATGAAAATTTTACGAAATTATAAAATTGTTCTATGGAAAGAAGGAGTGTGATTGGGTTAATAATTTTCATATTAAAAAATTATTCCAGAACATAATGTTTTTCTCTTTAATTTTTATATGGAAATCAATTGATACAATTGATATAATAAACTTTCATTGGTACCAAACTTTACGTTTTAGTATTGTCAATATTACCAATTTTGCAGAACAAAATTTTTTGTTAATTTTAATATGCCTAAAAGTAATTTAATAAGTCTCACCTTTGTAATCATCGTGGTTCATACCCATATCTAAAATATGAATTCTCAATTGTAAAAGAAGAATAATATTTCCTGACTGAGTGCATAATGTAAAAATAATATTGTTACTATGGTAATATATTGCAACAATATGAAATGAATGGCTTTAGTAATTCAGGAAAAATTTCAAAATACAGATGAAGGGAATATAATTCTAATTCGATATTTTAGCTCTCTCCAGACTGTAGTGGTACTAATTAAAAATAGTGCAATGGCTTTGTATATAATAAGGCTCAAAATTTTTTAATTATTATACTTGCAAAATTACGATAAAAGTATTTTTAATATTATATTAAATTTTTGTATTTTTATTATAAATTTTATATTCACCACGAATCTATGATGAAAAAATTTATTTACAAAAAATTTTTATCTTTTTTTTTTTGTTACAGAAAAAATATCATTCAGATTTATAAAATCCATTCAATACCAATGCAGCTGTGTCTACAAAATTAAATTATCCAACAAGGATTTAAAAATAGAAACAAAATATTAAAAATAAAATTGCATGTTTAACACACAAAATAAAAAAAATAGAGAAAACATATCCTTAAAATAAAGAGGAAAAGAAAATTATTTTCAATTTTATTTCATTGTTAGCTACACATAAAGGTTGTATTGCAAAAAAAAAAAAAAAAACATAACCATATTAAATTAAAAAACAGGAAGATAAACAAAAAATTATGAACCTAAATGTGTATAAAATATTTTATAAAAAATTGCAAAAACTATTATATTAAATGTTATAAAACAAAAAAGAATCGAAAAATATTTTAATATCGTAAAATAATTTCATTCAATATGATAAAGAAATCCTTGTGGAATCATGTGTACCATCAACAAAATCAGTATCATCACTACAATCATGGAATGTATGGAACAAATAATAATAATGATAACAAAATAATTAAAAAATATAAGCAATTGTCATCTATAATAATAGTTGTATATAATAAAATTTTCAATCAATACCACAACAGTAAAACAAAATCATTAACAGCAATTATATTCAATAATAATAGTAAGAATAACAGCAATAATAATAATAATAACAATACGAATAATAATTATTATTATAGTTGTATGTGTAATAATAGTAATATTAATAGTAAAATCAATGAAATTCATAAATGTATAATAAATAGTACTGTTGTCAAGATTCGATAGAACTAATTTATTATTCATAATAATTATTATAACGTGCTCAATGCCCAATACATGAAATAAATAAAAAAATTGAAAAATTAAAAATAAAAAATGTTTTTCTCGCGAAAAATTTATGCAATATCTCTAAAAAGGATATTCCGTTATTTATACAAAACATTAATTTTTATTTATATATCTATATGTATATTGTTCATGTATAGTAAAACATCATCGTCAAGAGAAAAAAAGGATATTTAAATTTCTGCTTTACGTTAGCTATTAAATAGCTAGTGATTACGTGTCTTAATAAGAAATGCAAAAAATTTGAAAAAAAGGACAAAGTCAAAATTATTGAAAAACAAAAAAATATACATATATATATATAAAAAATAATATAAAACTATAAAAGTATTATTATTAGTTGTTGTCATTGGTTTGTATGTAATTACTATTACATACAAGTTGAAATTAAAAAAAAACTCATATCTAAATATTTTAATATCCTTGTAAATAATTTATAATTAATATACTAATAAAAGGATTACTAATGAAACACAAAAAAAAAAATAACACCAATCATTGCAATTACATAATAATCAATGCCATATGATGCAAAAATAATGTAATATAATAGAAAATTCCATATATAGAATATGACCATGTCCATGAATTTAAAGTAGTGTTATACGCAGTTATAGTTTTCAATCCAGCTTTGTATAGCTACTCAAAGAGATTACTTTAAATATTTCAAAAAATAATAAAAATATTTTGTACACAAGTCAAATTACATTCAAAAAATTATGCTCCAAAATTTTTGTTAGAATTTGGGTAGCTCGAAATTCCCTAATTCGGCTAGGTGCCATACAACCTTTAAATCCAATATTAAGTATTGAAAAAAATAATAAAGGTGACTTTATCACCTTTATTTTACATCAAATTTGACAGTCCCATTTCCAATTAGTTTTTATGGAATGGCATGAAAATTCCGGATATTCTAAAAGCTAATTTTAAATAATCCGAAAAATAATAAATTTAGATTTACGAGACTTGGTAATTACGTACCCAATCATAGGTAGTTACATATCTGTAAAATTTTTGTGAAATGTTTTGACAAGTTCAATTAAATGTCACACAAAAATTAAAGCTAATTCTAAAATATTTGAAAAACAATAATTGTTATATTATAATAGATTTTATATTTAGATTGTCAAGGTGTAGAGTATAATTCAGTGAGTTTAAACGGAATGAAATGTGTTTTAGTTGTTTATAATATTAATGTATACATATATATGCATTTTATATACTTCGTAATATTCAAAAAAAAAAAAATTGAAATAATTTGTTGCCTAGCGAAAATATTAATCAAAATTTTCAACTGCTTTATTCTAATGCCTTTTAAACAGTGGGTACATGCTTTAGAACAATTTTTATTTGTAGAGCTCCAAACATTGTGTTGATTTTTGCACCAAAAGTTGTAGGAATATAAATAGTATTTTTTTTTGAAACGAACCAAGATCATAGTTAATTATATTATACATAAATTTCTTGAATATGTAAGAATTTTTTTGGCAATATTATGAGGACGGTCAGTTACATACTTGATTGCATTGTACAATATTCATATTATTTGATTGCATTCCTATATAATATTAAAACAAAAAATATTTTTATTACAATATTGATTAATAATATTGAATAAATTATTATAAATAATTATTTTTTATAATTTTAGAAAATATGAAAACTCTTTATTTATTACTTAATTAATCTGTAACAACTAACGAAGACCATACAATCTTGTAATATAATGAGTAATGCTGTTCCGAAAATACTTATACAATGAACTATTTAAAATGCTGATAACATGAACATAAAATTTTCCAAAAAATTTTAAAATAAGGTTTACATACAAATGACAATTTAAAAATAATAAAATAATTATGTAAAAATTAAAATATTAGTGATAAAATTATTATTATTAGAAATAATAAAGATTATATAAAATTATAATCAAAGTGAAAATAAAAAAAGAAAAAAAAATATGGGAACATTTGAGTTAAAAAATTTTTATATATTTTTTAATTTTTATTCAATGTATTATAATTTTTATGCAACAGGAGTTTCATTAACATATGGTAATGGTAAGTCGAATTTATGTTTATCAATTTAAATAATATTATAGCTATTTGAAAATATTTAATTTAATTTAAGAGTTGTGACACGAATTTGTTTACAGCTTTTATACTTAATAAAAAAATCTATGAGTTCTAGCTGGAAAATGCATTCTGGTCGGTAAATACAATTATCAATTTAAATAATATTACAGCTTTTTAAAATTTTACATTATGATTCATACTACACTATTTGTGTAATGTAATTTAAGATTTCGAAAATTCTCATTAAAGCGATCTGCATATATCCTAGTTTAGCTATACAATACAGGGTGTTAAGATCATCATAAAGAATAATATTCTTTCATATAAACGTAACATATACGAAATATTTTTTTTGTGTTTAGTTTGAATAATGAGGAAATTGTATGAAATATATGAAAAGGCATTATTCGCATGTTTTTAAAACACATTTAACACGATTTACTGGTAAAACTATGAGAAATAAAGGAAAATGTTATATGATAAAACTTTTAGCTCTTATTATACCACATCGAAAAAAGCAAAAATAAAATAAAAATAATAAGACCAATTTTCGAGAAATTTCGAATTTAAAAAAGAAAAATTAAAAAACGAAAATTTTGATTTCGACTAGCTTTGTCTCGAAAACTATGGCTCAAATCGAATTTATTTTGAGACTGAGAATAAAGAGCAATCAATCGCCAGTAAAACAAGCTCTTAATCTATTCTATGTTGCACTGTTTCAAAATTATAAGTATTTATTTATATACGGAGGAAAGATCTGGTACCTTTATTTTCAACAGGCTATAGATCGAAAACGAGTATATCTGTACCCCTCTCAACTCATACAATTTTTTGCTGGAAGTTCATCTAGGAAAATTATTTGCCCACTTATGCAAAATACCCTGTACAGTTTAAAATTAAATATTATATACTTATTTTAAAATTCGAGTATATATAATAAATTTTGCATATAATGCCAAAAACTTTAAATTAAAAAAAAAACCAGCTTAATGACATTATATCTATGTGCTTGCGCTTAATACACAAAACTCCAAAAAAAAGGGCCTCTTCTGAATAAAATTTATAAATTCTTGCCATTTTAATTTAAATGCAAATATTAAAAGTAATATTAAATTAAGTATTCAAGAAGAATTCGGGTCAATATACACGCAAATATATACGTACATAATAACATTCATAATATATATGGGTACTTAAAGTGGGTCAAAACCTTTTAACAATGCTACTATAATAATAAACTTTCCATTTTTATATAATAAAACTGACATAGTTTTTACAAATTAAATTTAAAGCGAAAATTCCCAATGCAATCAGAATGAAAACTTTTGGGTAAATTAAAAAAAGAAAATAAGAAACAAAATGGAAAATTGGCGTCTGATGTAGGCGCCCGAATTTCAAAATAATATGTAAGTATCTACAAAACAAAAATGCAATTTCAAAAAAAAAAAAAAAAATGTTTACTTTGAAAATGAAATTGAAATGCGAAAAAATTATATTCAATGTCATCGGTTTTGGCACAGACTAATCTCAAAACAAATTTGTTATTTTGTATCGCATAAAAATTTTTTGGAAAAGTGCTAAAAAGGTGACAGTATCTTTTATTCTCTCTCGAATTCTTCGACTAAATATGGAGGAGTATCTGCTAAGTCTCCAGTATTAATCGTTTTGTAAAATTTTTGAACCAAAGGATCAATAAATTGCATCAAGTACTCTAAGTTTTTCTTTTTTGGGACTAATTTTCTCTTTTTTTTCAATTCGGAGTATATCTTGAAAATCTAACTAGTTAACACCTTGTCTTAAAATATAAGAAAGCGTTGTTTGTATAAACTGTTTTTGTAAAATATTTTTTGGAAGTCAATTTTTTAAAATCTGTGGGGTGGCTCTTTCCACTTAAGGGAGTTTCAAAAAGTATTTCAATTACGAAAAGGCTTCATTGTGCAACGGATCTGAGCAAATAAATAAAGTTGTAGCATAAAGATATTTATATGTAGTATCTATCCGTTTTTGTTTAAAACCCTTTTTTGGAAACAAGTTTCATCAAGGCATTGTGTAAAGGAGACCATTGTGTGTGATATTTACGTACTCTGAAATTGCTGATATGTTGTATTTTACATATTGTTTTTGTTTCAGATATGCCCATTAATGAAACCACATATACAGTTATCTACAGATATGTTCTTGTGCCCGATAGGACTCCAAAATTTGCTTTTGAATGCTATTGAAAATCTTACATCTGTAGTTTTTACGACAAAAGAAACTTACTTGCCTTGTCAATTTTCATATTCATTTCCCAAATTCCTATCGTTGAAAGCCCTTTCTCTTGAATATTTCTTTAATTTGCTTTGTTTTGAAACCGAATATCTGTATTTTTTTGAACATCTTTTTCTACTTTATTTTATTTGAATGAACCCGTCATTTACGTCGGATCCTGAAGAATTTTTGTTTAGAAATTTTAAAATCAGGATTGTTAATACAATCACCACGACCAAAGTCAATTGCGGTTTTCAAAACTGTATTTACTTCGGTTTTCAAAGTAAGATCTGTTGATACTTGTTTATTTACTAAAGATCCAGTTTCGTTAATTTCTATGCTTAAAAACACTTTGAATCCGTTATGTTAATTTCAAATATAATGTAATACATCTAATATCCACCACAATCATTTCAGCTCTCCTAGCAAGTTCCAAAACTTTTAACGTACATTGATTAAACGTGGATAAAGTTTATATTGGATAATTTTTATATTACTTAACAATTTCCAACATAAGCAAATTTAAAAACAATAATAAATAACTGTCTTTGTAAAAAATACTTCCTTCGAAATAACAAAAATATCATAAATATTTGAAAATCGAAGAAATTTGATCTCACGGAAATAAGTAATAAAAAGTATAACAAAATATTGTTATTCCCAGATGTACCAGTTTTATTTATTGAAAACTCTTGCAAATTATAATAGTTTGAATATCCTATCAAAATGTGTTTTACTAGTGTATAATAAAAGTGTTGCTTTGTAATACAATAATTAAAATAAAAACTCTTGTTAAACACAAAAATTTGATCTTCCTAATAACATGTGTTTTACAAGGGCGTAATAAAACAACACTTTGTTTAATAATACAATTAGACCACAAAAGCAAAACAATCTACCATCAGGTAGCTAGCCACGTGTCATTTTAACATGGGAACTCCGTCAATTGAAAAAAACATTTGTCGCAGGTAAATCACGAAATGACCTACAAGATTATTTGTAAAATAAAAAAATTCAAATCTTAAACATGGAATATTTGGGTAATTAGAGCATTAAAAATGCAGGTAACTTGTGTACATGTTTTATATTTTGGGTTAAAAAAAACTATCTTCCTTGTCACTGAATGTAAGATTTAATTTTAACTATAGTGAACAAGTTTTAAATCATGGACATAAAGTACCTACACTATATATCACATAAAATAATATGTTAAGCGTTATAAAATATTTTTTATTATAAAAAACTAAAAAATATTCTATACTGATCATGTATTATTTCGAACACTAAACGCTTAACTTCGATGTATTGTTCTTATTTGCACGCGTTATAAAAACCTAACTCGACATAAGAAGCCTTTTGGAATATAATTGCATTTGCAATAATCGCCTAACTCGAGATGAGTTTAAACAACCAACAATAATTATTTTACACAAATCGCTTATGTCGAGTTAGTATTTAAAAAAATTCAAAATTAATTTTGCAACAAAAGCTTAACTCGAGATAAGCGGTTGTAAACATTCATACAAATAAAAAAAAATGTCACTAATTTCGATTTGCAACAATAGCCTATCTCGAAATAAGTGGTTTGTCAAAAACATAAAAAAGATGTTTTCTGCTCTTAACTCGATTTAGGCGATTAGTGCAAGTGCACATAGTTGCCATTTCGAGTTAGGTCATGTGTGAATTCGACAATAACTCCGGCTACAACAATCGTAGAACCACCAAATTTTGTGAGCATATGAAACTCAAAACGGAGAATTCGCTGGTAAACATATCTCATTTTTGTCTTAACTCGAGTTAGGCGGTTTGTGTTTGAGGCCACTGAATTCTTCAACTTTTATCAGCATTTCTTAAATGTTACGGCTAATTGCTATTAATGCAAAAATAAAATACAATATTATTTAATTACGAGAATTTTTAGTGTCACAATATTATAGTCGAAATAGAACTTTCAATATTTCAACGTGATTTTAAAGAAAAAGTTAAAATTCTAAACCTCCTCTGCTACTCCACTAAAGAATAATATTCTTTCAGTATTACTATTATAATATTATGTAGGTTAATATTTTCATATTTCGCTTACATATTATAAAATAAATAAATTTCCATTTAATTTAACAGTGTCGTCATGCCTCTCTTATACTTATTAATGAATAGAATAGCATGTTTGAGAAATAAAATATTTTTTTTTATTGATTCTCTTATATAATATTAATTGAATATTAAAATGTTATACGTAAAGTAAATGCATAATCAAAATAATTTTTATTAATTTTGACTATGTTACGTAATATAATAATGATAAATGTAGGTCTAGGTAAATATTTACATATACATACATAATTATTATTATGCAAAGGTGTTCGAAAAACGTGAATTTAATTGAGAACAATTTTAATTATTATTTTAAAAGTAGGTTAATGTTTTGCTATAAGAATTTATTCATTGTTGTAGGTAGGAACGATTATAATCAATCAATAAATTTTATTTGTAATCACCTGTAGGTATAATAATAATAATATTATAGGAAAACATAATATAATAGGAAAACAGTCTTGCTGCGAAAATTAAAATTTTTCATTGTGATTCAATGAGAATGGTAGCTATATAAATTTTATATGAAAATATGAAAATTATTAAATTTGAATGCTGTTAAGCAAAAGAAAATTTCAATATTTTCAATTGAAAACCTTAACATAGTTCTATTGAATTTTAATAATAATATGAGATTATTT